TATATATATATATATATATATACACAATAAATAATTATTTGTTAAAACAAAAACAACCAACACTAAATAAAAGATAGGAATAAAATAAAAAATAAAAAAAAAAACGCTAGACTATATTCCGTCACACCCAAGCGGTCACGACGGGGACACGTAACGTACCGCGCACGGTGGGAAGAATTGAGCGTGTATTATATTCGCTTAAACTTGGTACGACGCTGCTGCTACTATACTGCTTGTATCGGTGCTCTCTGGTTGGTGTTGACTTGCTTTAGCTGGTGCTTTTCGCAGTACTGACGCTGCTATTCAACCTCTCGTTCCCTCCTATACAGAAGATCACACACACACACACACACATTAATACATAAATACATATACAGAAACATACAAAGACATTACACTAATATAATGTTCAATGTTCACGTACATTACTCACCACTATCACTGTCTCACTCTGGCCGCCTTGAGTGGCATCTCGCCGTCTCGGTCTCACTCACACAAGGATCTCCGACAGACAGAGACAACTAGATAGATTGAAGAGCTTAAAAAATTTAGCCTACCGCGTCACTATTTTTTAGTTATTATTATTGAATAACACTTTAATTACACGTATTTACGAAAGTTTGATGATATATAAGCAGCTTGCGGTAAAATATTCCTCTCCTGGAGTAAGCTCGTTTAAAATAATATCATTTTTCTCCAGTGAATTATTATAATTATAAACATGAACGGACTTGTACGAACGTGCTCGATGGTATAATACAATGGGAGAACCTCTACTTAGCCGTTGCCGTTGGAACGTTGTAGCCGTTGCCGTTGGCGAACCGGGATCGACCAATACTAACGCTCACCAGCCGGATGTTCCCATTGCGGCCACGATGCCTTATTCTGGGAGCCCTATTGGTCGATAAATAAACTCCTCATTGTGCGCCTTTATCGCCTTTAGGTTTGGGTATCTCTGCGCAAGCTTATTGGCCGCTTTTTTTAAATTCACAATATCATTGGCGGGAATCCTCGCCCGAGAGGGCGCCACTCCACGGACAACTTGTCCTTTTAGTCCTTTTGGTGCTTGGCGCGCATTCATGATCAATGATCATCTCAACATTTCTATACACTAGCACCAACTACCAACTACTTTACCAACTATTGCGCACTATTGCGTTGTAGGTTGTTCGAGACGGAACGAGGAGCGAGCTTGTAGATGTTGATCTTGGTCAGTTGTTATGACCTTTTAAGGGTCATGCTGGTGGGTTTATAATATTCTTTCTCATTACATTTCATTTATTAAAAAATTAATAAGTGTCATTTTTATTTTTAAGATTTTTTAAATTGTTAACTCTTGTGTGGTTAATTATTTTTTGTACAAACGTTTGTAACTTTTTTATTTCTTTTGAAGAATGAGGTTAGAAAAAAAAGTTTTTTTTTCTGTAAAAAAATTTATTTATACAAAATACTTTAATTTTATCTTAAATAACTATCAAAGTGCTGATATGATTGTGATATCAGAATTTTCATCTGTAAAAATAAATTTTTATTAGTTATTGTCAAAATTAATTTTTTTTATTTCTATTTATTATTTACTGTGTTTGATGTTGGTGTATGTATGATAATCTTTTAATGGTATAATTTACTCGTGATTTTTATTATTTAATTTTTTAATACTATTTACCTGATAATAATTGAGCTACATTGGCAGAATCTCGAAAATTTACCGTCAAATTTTTGTCATAGTTAATCAAAGTATTCTTGACACCGTCACACCAATTCCAAAAAATTAATTTCTGATTTCTTGATTCTAGATCTTTGTGCAAAAGACCCAAATTTTTTGCAACAGTGGTGTCTATTCGGTGAATACATTTACCGTCAATAATAACAGGAATGGAAGAAGATCTTTTGTCGCACCTGCAGTTTAAATTTGTCAATTAAAAAAAGATACCAAGTAAAATAAATCTCGTGGGAAGGAATATTATTGATATGAGAACAAACCACTCAATGACTCGCTCGCGAAGATATTCAGCGGCTGGAAAACTCAGTGATTGCTCGGGAGCTACAAGAAGGACGTCGATACCTTCAATGTTGCGTTCTTCGATAGTCAATCCTGGTCTTGCACTGAAATACAGCAACAGAATAAGATTCAAAAGAATTCCAATTATCATTCCGTACTCAAGATTTATCAGCAGACAGCAAACAAGAGTCACTGATAGTGGTAGTATATCAATCTCTAAAAATAAAGTTTGTAAGTATTGGTTTAAATATTATTTTGATAAACAAGTAAAAGTTAAATACTTTTAGATCTCCAGAGGACGCGAAAAATATGAAACTCAAGCATGTAGTACATTGCTACGATAATAACAGCAGCAAGAGTACACTTGGGAATGAATTTAAAGGTCGACGTAAGTAGTCCACATGCTAAAAGTACCAACGAACCGGTGACTATTCCACCCATTGGTGTTTTCACTCCTGACGCAGAATTAATAGCAGTTCTTGTAAAACTCCCAGCTACTGGCATCGATCTCACGAAACTGCCGAATAAATTGCAGAAACCTAATGCTATCATTTCCTGGTTTGCATCTACCGATTTTCCTTTTGCTAAAATAAGTATTTATTTTTTCATGCTGAGTTTAATAAATTATATTTTTATAAATTTATTATTGCACTATAATTAGCTTACCAAAAGCTTTTGCTATAGCAATACTCTCAAGAATAGCAATTAGAGGAATAGAAGCTAAGCTACTACCGAGTTCTCTAACCATGTCAGTGAATTCATACTTGGTACTGTTGAACTCTGTTGAAAAAGGTGGCAAGCTCAGTGATGGAAGACCTTCGGTAATATTTCCCGTTATAATAAATGGATTGTTGTCGTACAATGACAATGTATAGGCTAGAATTATTCCAGTGATCACGACTATTGCATTTCTTCCCAAAGACAATAGCCACATTATTTTCTTTCCGGCTGATCCTGATCTGCTACCTGGTAATTGCTTTGCCAGGTAACAAATATTAATTCATCAATTATTCATTGTAGATTATTTTTATTATAATTATAGTTACCTTAAGACCAACTAAAATAATTATCGACACAACTCCTAGGACGGTATCCCATAATTTAACTTGCTTAATATTTTTAACAACTTTAACAATAGAGTCAATAAATGTCTCAGTTTTTCCTTGGATACCAAACAATGTGTGTAATTGAGAAGCACCGATAATTAGTGCTGCAGCATTTGTAAATCCACAGATTACTGGCATGCTTATGAAATTAACCAGGAAACCTATGTGGAGAAGGCCCATTAATATTATTATGCATCCTGACAGAAAACACAGAAGAACCTTAAAAAAATTTATAAATTCAATTACAATCATAATTAATTATTCATGGGTTGGTGAATGTGTTGATGTTGTGAATGAACTTACTGCAAAATCATTTCCAAATTTTATGACAAAAGGTTGAACTAGTAGAGCCATTATTGCTGTGGGTCCGATGGTCACGTCTTTAGTACTTCCGAAAATGAAATAAGCAAAACAGCCCATAAAACTGCTATAAAGTCCATACTGTCACAAATAAAATAATTAAAATTATTTATTTATTGAAAACAAGTTTGAAAAATATTTAAGTATAGTAGGAAGTTGATAATTGTTTATATGAGTCACATATTATAATTTTGTAAAATTAATCGCTACTTATTGTTAAATTTTAATAGCTTGTATTATTTTCATTTTCATTAATGCAATCGATTACAACAAAAGATATTTTCATACTTTAAATTAAGCGTTCATAATTAGTGACCTTATGAGAGGTACTTGGTTCTATGAATGACGAGTCTTAAATTCTGAGAATAAATAAATAAATAAATATATTGTATTTTGTTCTAGGATTTCCAGTGTTAAGGTTATTGGATTCGAAAAATGATATAACAAAAATAACAATTCCTTGCAATAATTTAAACGATTTCGGGTTAAATAATATGGCACGGGGTTGCCCCATGGCAATATGCATTTATATCAAGTAGGGCAATTTGAAGAGGATCGCATAAAAAAAATTGAGGTGGAATAGTTGTCGGTACTCATGCGCTGATTTTTCTTAGATTAATTCCGAAATTAATTAATAAAACTTCAAGAAATCTTGGAAAAATTTTGATGACAATTTCTTTCCAACACACCAAATATAAGGTAATAAAATGAACTTACTCAATATTCGAACATTATCACAACATAACCGTAGGCAATTTCTTAAATAAATAATATATACTTATGATAATGCAACTTAACGATAATAGCTTCTTAATAAATACAATTAATTACCTGAGCAGGAAGACCGGCAACAACAGCATATGCAATACCCTGGGGAATGGCAGTGAGTCCAACAGTGATACCCGCCAGTGCATCCTGAACAAGCTTCCCCCAGGTATAATTTGGCAGCCATCCTAGTATTGGAATTCTCTTAACTAATATTTCTTTAGCACGAGCTCTTACTGGTACTGTCATGTCTCTACCTTTTTGCAAACAAACAAATTTATTACGTTACTCATGATCATATTTATTGTTACCGGCAATTATAAATTATTCATTATGATAACTATCGTAATTATTTTTTTTCTAGAATTCTCACTTGGAATAGCGATGTAATTCATCTTTTCTGGTAAGTTTCAAAAATATGTACAGAATTAAATTAAAAAAACTGATTTATTATTTAGATTTAACTGATATGAATGAGTAGAATAACGGAAGAAAGAATAATTTATAAAACAGATGTAATTGCAAAATGATTACCTTTTCATTGCGTTGATAACAGTAGTATCAAATATATTATAACTATTATTTCATTATTGCATGCCTGAGCGTCCTTGGGTAATCCTCAGTGACTAATTGGCAAGTATCGAAAGTCTAATGTAATTAAATTCTCGTTACTTGTCTTTAAATGAATACCAATAAGCTAGAGTTTGTCTGTTATTATCACATGTATCGTGTAATCGATTGAAAATATTTCTTTAAGTTCTTTAACACTAACCTTTCCGTAGCAAACTCAAAGTTTACTGTTTTGTAGGTCTCACATATTTTTTTATTCTATTTAATTTATATCATTAACGTCAATATCTTTTATCTAATCAGATTAACCATAAACAATATCTTTTTCTCAACACTTAATTATCTTGATCGTTTATAATATAATAATTCACAACGGATCAGAGCGGAGGATTATTATTACGTTATAAGTCTAAGCGCCTGACTATAATACTATATAAAACACTGAAATATTTAATACAGATGGCTGTTTTAATTGACATGAACGCTTCGATGTCTTGTCACTGATTAAAGATGGAAAAAAAAAATAAAGTAACTACTTACTACTGTACATAAAGAATGTTAATTCACTATATATATAATATATTTAATTTTCTATACGGTTTATGTCAAAACGATACAGCGAGTAAAATTGGTCGACAGATAAGACAAGATCGTGTCAGGAAATACGTATGGCCCAACTACTTTTTAATTACATACAGTTTTTATCATCGATTGATATATTTTTTTTTATAGATATTTTTCCAAGAGTCGTCAATTCATTAATTTTGATTCTGGAGGTCACTTGATGGACGTATTATAGGAAATTTATTTATGTTTTCTCATGAATCGAAACAAAATGATAAACTCCTGGGTGATTAATCAAAATTTTAACGGCAATACATTATATCTTTTAATATGGTCTAATAAATATAAGAAGTAGTCTGAATATTTTATTTTTACTTATCATGAAACCTCACGTGCGAAGTAAACTAATATGAGTTATAAACAGAAGTCATAAGAGACTCTACTGTATGTCTCGATCATATGAGTGAGGAGAGTTAAACAAAATACAAATATTAATAAAAAATTTGTTCATTTATCGTGTTGGAATTAGATCTTTGTGTCAAGGTTGGTTTATTATTTTTTTTTTTTTTTTTTTATACGTACATATATAATAATCTTTGATAGATTAATGAAAAAATTATTTTTAAATTACCTCGCGTGTTTATCTTCAATTTACAGTTAGCTTTTTTTTTATTCTCACACTTTTACTGTCAATAATTAATATAATGCGTGATAGAATCCTTTTGTAACTCAGTTTAAAGTGCTGTAAATTAATTATCTTGTGTTGAATAAAAAAAAATTTTTTTTCGATTTCAAAAAAAAATCGCAGTCGGTAGGACTCGAACCTACGCTCCCAGAGGGAATCTGATTGCTAGATTGCGGATCGTATTCTAGTCAGACGCCTTAACCACTCGGCCACGACTGCTTCTACGGACAAGGGAAATTGTCGGTTCATTTTGTGTTATGCTTTTTTCAAAATTAACAAAAAAATTGGGATCCCACGTGGAGGATTGTTAAAATTGAAAAAGAAAAATTTAAAATGCTCAGATTGTAGGCGTTGAGTTATGAAAAATCAATAACCAATGGCTTTGTGACAAATTACATTGATTGTGTAATTTGAGACATTAGCCGTATGAATTACAAAGAATATTAAGCGCAAAATGTATGATTGTATTCGGTGAATACATTATTGACAATTATTTCTACTTACGTAACAGAGGTGTCAATTCTGATAAATCGTCATTATTATTAATTCCACTTTCCATTCCGTTATGAATTATAAACTTATATCATCGCTTAGTTTTGTTATTACTTTTCCGTGTTTTTATTTATTGTTCGCGTTGTTGAATAGTGATACCATCTGGGTGCAGGTTTATAAGTTATTTACCGACAGAGTGTAGAGGCCAGTCAAACGAAGTCGATATGACCACAAACATCATAATTCAATCAGAAGTGAGTGCATATCTATCAAATTTGCACCTTTGTGTGATGACCGAAAGTTGCTAAAAAAAATTATGAAAGCCTTAAAATGTATTAATTTATAAGGGTTTTGCTTATCACTCACGATCAGTTTGAGTTAATGATATTTTTTATTAATAAAAATTGTAAAAGACAAAACTATCAACAAAAAAGTCGATGGCAATAAGATTTTTTTAAGAAAGTTTAATGATCCTTACAATCATCTAATATTTTTTAAAGTATGAAAAAAATATATTTTTAAATATAATCGCATTTTTACCGATGACCAACTGACCCCGATTATCGAGCGAATTTTTATAGGAATACTAATTAGTGATATCTTAAAACCCATAAGCACTTTTTTTAATATTATCAAGTAGATTCGGAGAATAATGGATTTGAAAAGAAAAAAAAAAAAAAAAAAAAAACATTTTTTATTCGAAAACGCGTGATATTTCAGAGTTAAAATTGGGCTGAGATGTTATCCACAGTATAAGGTATTTCAGGAAAAAAAATTAGCCCGATTGCAATGGGGGCATTTTACCCCGGCTTGTCGAGCAAGGGCCTTTATCTGTTAACGGTGATGAGACAAAAATTAAAAGTCGAGTCTTATCAAGCATGGTTAACAAGAGTAAATTAAAAACTTGTGGTTTGTGAAAATATGTCAATCGAGAATAACTTCTCTTTTGGATTCCCTTCGATATTGAATTGAAATCACACGGTGACTATGTTTTCTTGCCTTACCCGACGTTTCATTTGCATTAAAATTTGTGATTTAAACCATAACGTTATTGTTTATTGTTGCGAAACAATAAAACAGATTAATTTCATTTCATTAATTGAAAAACAGTAATCAATTCAACCGTAATTTTCTTACAGCTTAACTAAAACATTCTTTATACCTGATGTGTTGGAGTAACGACGGAGACCGATCGTGTTGTCTTTTTCTAATGCAGTGATGTAGGATATAAATACATAAAAACAAAGGATTCGTCCGTACCAAAATAACCAAATCTTCTTCAACCAATAACAAATAAACTCATTAAGAAAGACGGAAAAATCTCGAGAATAATTCAAAATTAACTACAAAATTGAACATTTAAATTCAGTATGATTGAGTAATTAAAAAAGGCATGAATTTATTTAATACTTAAACCGGCATTATTGACATAATTAAATATAAATATACTGCTCTATCATACTTTTGTTGAAATAAAGAGTTCATATTGAAAATCTTTCCTACATGTTTTTCTTTTAGTTTACTTGATATTTTATTATTTTTAAAAGAATATTCGGTACAGCAACATTTGGTAAACACATTGCTGTCCTTAGGACAGAATAAGATTTTACGATTTCTCAGAAATGAAAATGGAGTACTAGAGTTCAAAGTAATAATTCGAGGTATTATATATTTTCTTATAATAGCAAAATTATCGGCTCCAACTTACACAAAGAACTTAGTGTATTAAGTTATTTTTCATTGATTTAATTTCATTTTCAACAGTTATTTCCACATAGTTAGAAATTGATAAGACTTACTAAATTTTTGTTCAAGATAATTTTGGTTTCTTATTTTTACTACCAAAACTTATAATATTACTTTCACAAAAAGAATTTCTTTTATACGCTTGCATACAGAATTTTAGGATCATTTTTAGTTGAGCCCCAACAATGAGGGTATTGTTGTAATTTCTTTCTCTTTTTCTTGAGGAAAATTGTCACAAATGAATTTTTATTCCATAGCGATTTGTAACGAATAAATCTAAAATAATGAAGTTTAAATGAAACTGGATATAAGCAAATTAAATCTATTAAACTGTACAAATTATTAGAGTAGTTAAACAAATTATGTTGGAGAGAAAAGAATAATTAAAAATGAATAAAATTAACAAAATTTACAAATGCGTTCCCCTATTGGGTGAATTTAGTATGCAGGTATACAAAGAGAAGAACAGCTGCTCCCAACTACCTGCTTTCAATAGACAGCGAATCCTAAGCTAATACTCGATATTTCTGTGATTCTTCATCGAAAGAATTTAAAACTTCCAACTAAATACTTTCGAAATATTAGAATTGTTTAAACTTGAAATAAAATCCTTGGATTTTTTGTTAGTTATTTTAAAATTTGAATTTCTATCTCTTCAGGCAGTTAAGAAAAATAAAAAAATATACTTTTCAAGAGCATATAACCACTATCATAGTTGAAGAATTTATGTGTACGTGATTTTATATATTTTCAAAAGCTAATTACTCATTGTTCATGTTTTTACAATAATAACATATGATAACTGATAACAAATATCAAAAGAATTTCGACGAGGATGGGATTCGAACCCACGCGTGCAGAGCACATTGGATTAGCAGTCCAACGCCTTAACCACTCGGCCACCTCGTCACGGCCCCCAATAAAAAAATTGAATCATTGTCTTTCTATATACATTTTTAATCATCCAGTACTTTATTATCGTTTTAAATTGCAGTTATTAAATAGAAGAAGCATAAAAGCATAAAATAATTATAATTTCAGTGTGACAGTAATTATTCAGCGAACATTAGTTTTAATTTGTTTACTATAACGTGAGGTTATCAAAAGATAAAATTTATTTGAGGATATGGCTGTCATATGAGTGTAAAAAAATCACATTTCTTCCTATATGACCTTCCATAAATATTATAGATTTAATTACATAATATTGAGATCTCTGAAGTTGCTAAATGTTTAAAAATTCTTTTTTGTTCGCTCACATGAATATTTTATCAGTCCTAATCGTCTTCTTATATAATATATAATAGATACTAAAAATTAATATTTTTTTTTAATTATTTTCATTTTTTTAACTGATTATATCAATTTAAACCTTGAAAATTTTGATTGTTTTTGATAAAAAACATATTTAATTGGCAACCTGCCTTATCAGATAAACTGCAATTGTTATGTTATAAAAAATTTGCTTTTAAATTGTCTTTTTTTTTTTCAATTTCATTCAAGTTACTTTTTATAATGAAACAATCTTAGTGCAGTTATTACGGCGCCGTGGCTTAGTTGGTTAAAGCGCCTGTCTAGTAAACAGGAGATCGGGGGTTCGAATCCCCCCGGAGCCTACTTGGGATTATTTTTTTTTTTTTTCCATTATTATTCAATAATAATTTCTATTAATTTTAATGAATGAGCAAACATAATGATACTTGAAAAAATCAGTAATCAATTTTGTGAAATGAAGCGTAAAATTAAAAATTCATTAAATTGAAAATACAATACTGAGAACACAAATGTTTTTTTTCTTTTTTCTTTTAATTATAATAAAAACTTCTCGGTATTATTTTTTATCAACGATACTGAAATGGACAGACATTTGAAAATTTATAGAATTTTATAGTCCCGTTAACTTGACTATCTAGGAAATAAAACGAGCCAAGAAAAAATTGCCAACTCGATTTCAATCAAAATGACATAACAAAACCGGAAATAAAAAAAAAAAAACATTAAATATAAAATCTACAAAGAATTCACGATTGAGTTGACGATCATTAGTGATTCATACCAATGTCGCATTATGTATACTTCAACTTATGCAATTTTATTTTTTTTTATTCAGCGAGAAAATCGTTAAATTTCAGTCCAACCACCCGACGTGAGTGTACATCCCTTGTCCTTGAAAGTCGAGTTCACAAACGTGTACTTGCAGTCACAATTTACCATAAATCCAGTTCAGTTACCTTTAAAATGACGTAAAAAGGTAAAAACAAACTTTAGTGCGCAAACAGGTTTGACAGTCTGAAAATAATAACAGTAGCTTTCTTCATTTCTTCCCTTTACTCAATCCATTCTAGTTCAAGGCCATGGGGAGCAAAAAAATAATAATAAATTGAGACCACGTGTATGAACTTCAGCCCAGGGTTTAAATTCGATCAAAGACCTCAAGGACACCCTAAAACGTAAATAACTTACTGCGCAAAATACTGTTCCTCACCCATACGGCACGAATTAGTTGTGTCGCTTTTACGCTCAGTGTCATATTATTCATAACATAAGATTTATTACCGATTTAAAGCCTCGGAAGTTCGATTTTAATAAAATAAAAGTTCAATAATTTGTAAATCATTGAAGACTTTGTTTTGCGAAATAAAACACCCGTGAAGCACGTGGCATTGTTTTGATAACTCGTGAATATATAGGTGCTCCCACTCCTATTGTTACGCCTGTATACAATATATTGTTGTATTTTACAAAGGAGGGTAGGGATTTATTCAACTTCGCAATACCATGTATGGCAAGTAACAGTTACAGTATGTGATCCATAAGTCTGCCGTCTTGCATTAAAATTAATTAATCTGCCGGTAACTTCTGATACGAACGGATCGCTTTTAATTTTGCTGACCATTGAACCTTTTAAATTTCTTAAACAGTTTGTTCGAATAAAGAAGCGAAATTAAAAAAAAAAAAAAAAAAACTGCTGGTTATGATGAAATTAAGTTTATTTTAAATTGGTAAGACTTGAAAAATTTGTTACTTATTCTGTGAAATAAATTTTACAATTTTTTAACAATTAAATTATTTAAATTTTAATTGAACGCGGACTTAGAGAAAGGATGCTCACAAAGTAATTTAATTTTTTTTTTTTTAATGTAAACGAGATGTGCATTTTAAATAAAGAAACTTTCACGAGAAATTGCTAATCATGTGTGAAATCTTTCTACTCATTTTATTTATTTATTATTTTAAAATTATACCTGACTTGTGAAATAACACTTGTTCAATTACTTATTTTATTAATTTAAATAAAAATATAAAGACATTGACACAATTTAATCTTTAATTTTTTGTTTCAGGTTTCAATCGTGTTATAATGTTACGATAATTCCAGCACACTTTTAATGATAATTATTAATTAATAAGTTACTTAAGTACGTACTTACTTATTTACTTTACCGCTAAACTTTCTTTGAAGAAAAATTTATAATTGACAAGCAATAAGTAAGTTAAGAAGAAAATCGACTTCGTTACATACAAGATGTCGAAGTACGAAATCAAGGACAATAAACCGGATGGTGACTGCAATGTGCAGCTTACCAATTTCGAGAATTCACATGAAGATGGTTTAGTTATACGTAACCCGATGGTTGACTTTAATAACCGGCTTAACAGTACTGGGTTTAATGAGTATAAATCTACAAACCGTCCAGGTAATTTATTTATTTAATTTTTAAGTTTTAAATTTATGGAATAAACAGTTATTCGTATCAGCAATATTTATCGCTTCGAAATATCGCTGAGCGAACAATAATTGATGATAAAAAAAAAAAAGTAATTTTTTGCTACCTCTAATTAGCTTATCTAGAAAATTATTTTTATGTAAGTGCAGTTTATGGATTTAAAATATCAATCAATTTTAATTGATTATTATTTTTTTATCGATTATGCTGATATAGATCTAGATATTGAAATAATTATGCCTGCCGGGGATTCCTTGTACGGATTACTCTAGATATTTGTTGCGTTTTGTTTATCTTTTAGAAATTATTGCCAAGTTATTGATTTTTCATGTGAATATTAATTATTATTATTAAAATTTTTTTAAATGAAATTTCCTAAAAAATTTTGCATTTAAATTTTGAAAAATAATTATTATAATTTTATTTAATAATAAAAATAATAATAACAACAATAATTTATTTGCAATGAAAATTTTCTTCAGATTTAAATAGATTTTTAAAATAAAAAATATTGAAATAAATCTAGGTAATTATTTACAAGTGGGGTCAATCCCATTTTGGGCCATAACTAGCTGAAGAATTAACATTTTTTAATTTTTTTTTTTGATTCTGCTTGTTTTTACGGTGCATTTATGATAAAAAATGTTGTGAAAGAAACGAACAATTTAAAAAAAAAATTGATCAATTTGATAAAAAAAAAAAAAACAAAAATTTAACATGGCCCAGCATGGGTTGATCCCTTTTGTAAATAATTACCTAAATTTATTTATGTCTATCCAAAGTTTAAAATTAAAACACTTTTTGGTGATATTATAACTAATTATTTGCACAAAGAGATATATACTTATAAAACAGTTTACATTAGTATTGTTAAACAATGACCTTGCATGAGGTCGTTTTACAATAAATTGTAATACGATTTTTCCGTGTAAAAAAAAGATCATAATATTATTATACATAATAGTAAAATGATATTGTTAGCAATTGACAATAAAATGTAATCTACTGAAATTATATAATTCTTTACAAAGATAATTTAAAAGTAACAAAACACAAATCAATTTTTTTTTATTCATTGACATTAAAATTAATTAGATAATTTATTTGTCGTAGTAATCCACGAATACGAAGAATCATCAATTGGAACAGAATGGTTTTGCGAAAGGTTAAAAAAATCATTTCGCAAGAAAACATTATACAGAAGAGTACCGATATTCGATTGGTTGCCTAAGTATCAAAAAGAATTCGTTGTGTGTGATTTAGTAGCTGGTATCACTGTAGGATTGACTGTAATTCCTCAAGCAATTGCCTACGCTAATATCGCTGGTGTTTCACCACAGGTGAATTGACTATTTAATTATTATTTTTACTTAAGGCAGTTGACATGATTATAAATTACTGCTTATAATTGGATGAATTTATTTTTAACAGAATGGATTGTACTCGTCATTTATGGCGCCGTTTTTGTATACAATATTTGGGTCATCGAAGGATGTATCGGTGGGTCCAACGGCACTAGCATCTATCCTAACACACGAGACACTTTTGCGTGCTCAAGTAAGTCTAGACCATACCATTCTTTTGACCTTCATCTCAGGCCTCGTGTCGTTGCTCATGGGGATCCTGCAATTAGGTATGTAATGATACTTTTTATTTGCTATTTTATATTTTATTCATGTACTCTTTAGTCTGCCTGTTTATCTACATTTCAAGTATCTCATCGACACGTTACGGTAAATTTTTAAAATATTGCAGTGAAAGGATGAACATATCCATCAAGGACTATCTCTGCTCCAACAATTACCGACTATTTTTATCGCGATTGATGAAGAAATCATTCAAGCATTGAATCTTGATTTTTTTACTAAGTAAAAATAAATTCATAAATAAATGAATAAATCAATGATTATTTGCATTGTTGTAGGATTTCTTATCGATTTTATATCTGGTCCAGTATCCGTGGGATTTACATCAGCGGCTGCGATATTAATAGCAACAAGCCAAGTCAAAGATATTCTAGGAATCCGCATTCCTAGTGGAAAATTTATTCATACTTGGCATGGTGTCTTTGAACACATTGGCGAGACCCGACTTTGGGATGCTGTCTTGGGATTTTTTTGTTTGATGATACTATTCGGGTTGCGAGTAAGCATTTTCTTAAGAATTCAATAATAATTTTTAATGATTTTTTAAAAGGGTTGCTCGCAGCCAGGTGCTTGAAGAATGACTATTGTTATTAATTACATTTTTTTACGCTTATTAAATTTAGTTTATAAAATTAATACAGAGTTTTCATATGATTTAATAACCAAAATTAAAAAAAAAAATATTAACTATATAAATAATTAAAAAATTATGGAAACTTTTAATTTAATTACCTCAAAATTTTTAAGAAACATTCTCGTTGCCTCTGAACTCTTAAAATACTTATTTTTGTTACAGAAATTGAATGATATTCGAGTAATATCAAAAGACACAAAAGACCCTTCAATAACGCAGAAAGCCATGAAAACTTTTCTATGGTTCATGTCGACTACGCGTAATATTATGGTAGTGATATCGGGTGCGATATTAGCATGGATACTAGAAAGCAATCTCGGATCATCTCCATTTATCCTGACAGGACACGTAAAAGAAGGACTGCCGACTTTTCAACCACCACCGTTTTCAGCGCAAATAGGCAATCAGACATACACGTTTTTTCATCTAGCATCCGCGCTAGGATCTGGGTGTTTTGTCGTTCCCCTCTTGAGTATTCTTGAGACTATCGCAATTGCTAAAGTTTTTTGTAAGTATCATTCAATTAAATTTTGTGAGTTAATTTTTGAGTAATTGGTAAATTTAATTTTATAGCGGATGGTAAACCAGTAGACGCATCTCAAGAAATGTTTGCTCTGGGTGTCTGCAATATTGTATCTTCATTTTTCCAATCAATGCCTGTCAGTGGAGGCCTGAGTCGCGGAGCAGTGAACCATGCATCGGGTGTTAAAACAACTCTCGGTGGTATTTATACTGGGATTCTCGTTCTTCTATCGCTACAATTTCTTACGTCGTATCTTTACTACACTCCAAAAAGTGTTCTCGCGGCTGTTATTATAGCCGCGGTTGTTTTTATGGTTGAATTTCACGTCGCCAAGCCCATGTGGAAAAGTAAAAGTAAGTATGACTGAGCGTTTTTCAGCTTAATTTCCATGTAAATTTCTATTGCTGTCTTTTTTAAAGAGATTACACGCCCTTAGAAGACCAGAATGAACCGATTTTTCAAGTATTTTTTCTCAAGAGACTTTTTAATTGATTAATATGAAAAAAGAAATACGTATAGTAGTGACTTTGGACTTTGATAATGTCATCTTTTTTTTTTTTTTTTTCAGCATATTTAAATATATATTACAAAACTGAAATAAAAAAAATTGATTATTTTAAAAATTCCAAGTGCGTATGACTTCTTGAAGACTCAAAAAATAATTTTTGTTTGCTTAATTAATTTTTCTAGAAATCGATCTAATACCAGCAATTGTGACATTTGTTTCTTGTCTTTTCGTCGGCTTGGAGTTAGGAGTAATAATTGGAATAAGCATTAATTTACTTTTCTTACTCTACGCATCTGCTAGACCATCTTTACGTGTCCGTAAGATCACGGTAATGATTATAAAAATTCATATTACTCATATGTATTTTACCAATCGATTAATTTTACAATTAATCATAATTATTGAAACTATTCCAGATTCCCGGGGAATTTGAATACTTGATGATAACACCCGACAGAAGTCTATCATTCCCCAGTGTTGAATACGTAAGATCAGCTATGAGTAAGTACGGAACTCGAGAAGGAATTCACATGCCTATTGTAATCGACGCTACCCATATTCAAGCAGCAGACTATACTGCAGCTCGCGGAATAAAGAATATAATCGAGGATTTCGCGAAACGTGGACAACCTCTTATTTTTTACAATCTTAAACCAAGCATCGCAGCCATCTTCCGAGGTGTCAAGCCCGCACATATGATCATTTGCTCTAGTGAAAATGAATTAAATCAAAGCTTAAGAGGTATTACAAGTAATATTATTAATCTTTCAATTTTAATTAATTAATTTTTTTTTTCTTAATAGATACAGCGAGCATTTCTTCAATCACTGTGACCCCGTGACGGATACGAACTGTACTGACCAAGTACTTTGTTAAAACATTTCAGTATTAATGGCAGTTACGGCTGAAAAATTGCCAAACACAAGATAAATATTTAAAAATTTATTAAAATATACGTGTAACATACTTATTGTTAATATTTTTAATTGTATAAAATTATTGTCTATTTTATTAACTAATCAACGATTTACTAATTTATTATTTATTTATTTACAATCCAGTTTTCTGGCTCCTTCTGATGGAGTAGCAATGTAGAATGACGCAGTTCCCGAGTACCTGGAATAAAATTAATACTTAACGTGCAAAATCACAAATTTTTAGCATTAAAATAACTTACGACTCATTGATAGCTTTGATAACAAGATCAACAGAGTCCTTTTTCAAAAACGTAATAGTACAACCACCAAAACCAGCACCAGTGAGCCGACTTCCCAGAACACCAGCTACTTTTCTTGCAGTATTAACCAGCGTGTCAAGTTCATTAGAGGACACTTCATAATTGTCACGCAGTGAGTCGTGACTTTCGTTCATTAATTCCCCGACTTTAACGTAATCACCGGCTTTAAACGCCGCGGTTGCTGCTAACGTACGTGAATTCTCATTAATAACATGACTAACTCTTTTCAACATTGTTTCAGTAGCTCCTTCTTTTTTCAAACCTATGAGAAAAAAACCAAATAACTCTCATCAATAAATTACAAAAAAAGGCCATTCGCCAGCCGAAATGGGAGTAAATTTCATAATGAATAGAAAAAAAAGCAAATTTCATAATTAGCATAGCAGAATAGGACATAATTCTGAGGCTCCACATATGATATGGTACTCAAATTGAAGCAAATTTAAAGAGATTTAATAAGTTATCCCATTTAAAAGTTATTCGAGTAAGAAAGTGAAGAAATATGAATTTTTATAATTTTGAAATCCTGGCATTTTTAAATTACTCGACCGATGAAGCTCATCTTTGAACTTAATTTCAGTATCTATCTGTAGAATAAGTATATTGAGTTTGGTGGAGATCCGTTGCTAATTGTAGACACTATCGTCCTAATAAACTATATAAACTTTTAAACCATATATATTTTTTCTGAATCAGTTTGATGAACTGAGTCGAAATATATCAAAATTTTTTAAAAGTTCCGTCATGAGGACCAATGCAACACTTATATTTCTATGAAATTTACTAAAAAAAGGAAAATTACTTTCAAGATCATCCAAAGTAACTTCACGCAGATTTTTTTTCCCTAATTTTTTAGCAGCTTCAAAACAAGCATCTCTGCGCTCCTGGAAGGCACTTGAGGATAATTTATGTGGCGCATTGGAGTTTGTAATCAAAAACGCGTAATTATCAATCCCATCCATGGGAATCTGAGTGACTGAAAGGTCGCGACAGTCCAGCAACAACGCGTGACCTTGCTGGCCCATCACCGAAATAAATTGATCCATTATTCCGCAAGGAACATTTGCGAATTGATGTTCGGCTTTCTGACAAATCAAAGCTTTGTCTCGTAGGTCTTTGCACTCAACTCCTGTCAGAGCTTCTATAAATGTGTAAGTAGCAACTTCTAGAGCTGCTGAACTGCTCAATCCAGATCCCATTGGCACTGTTGAAACTATCACAGCATCGAATCCGGATACATCAGCTGAAATTTATTTATTATATTATATTAACTATTTATTATTATTATATTGAACTTTTAGATGATTTTGCCGAATTACCTGGGAAAAAAGCAATGCAACCTTTTACATAATTGGCCCATTTTGGTTCGCCGGGTACTACTTTACTGCGATCACTGACTTCAAACTCAATTTTACTGATTGTAGTTATTGATTTACTCGTTGAAACTATTGTACAAGTCGACTTGCCGTTGAGCTTACCAACAATCATCGTTACCATTGGCAGTGCCTAGTATAAACAGTTTTGATTGAAATTAATTATCTAATTATTAATCATGTGATAAAACAGTTCAATGCGTAACTTCTAAAAGTCAATGTCATTTAAAGATCAACTTATGACTCTAACTGTAAGTCAAACTAATAGGATTTTAAATAAAAAAAAAAAAAATAATATAAATTAATAAATTACCATTGGAAGAACAAAACCTTCATTATAATCAGTATGCTCGCCAATCAAATTAACTCTTCCTGGTGCAAAGACACAAACATCAGCATCCTTCCCGAATTCTTTCTGGAAAATTTCCAATGCTTCTGATTTTACTTGAGAGATTGTAGGGATTATTTCTGCCATTCTGCAAAATTTTTAATATTATTAATTATTGTGCTAGTAAACATTTGAATGAATGAGTAAAAAATTAATTTATTTAAAATACCTTGTATGCTGAGCGAATATACAAATGTAATGCGATGACTTTTATAGACTGATTAATTGATGAGAATTATTCACAGCGCCTCCTGCCCTTGAATTATCTTCATGACGTTTTTTATTGCTTCTTATTCTTATCATCGTTGATGAAAAATTATTTTTTTAATGTACTCTACCAACTACAATATGGTTCTAGTGCATATTTACATCCATTAGCATTGAATTTTGAGTTTTTTTTATTATTATGGTTAATTGTAATTTAAGAGAATGAAATAACCAACTATTGATAATGTTGAGAAGACAAAATCTATCTTTGGGTTAATTCTTAAAATATAAACATGTATAAATAAATTTAAGTAAAATAAAATTTATTAAAATATTAAATTGATATATTTTTTAGAATAAGTTACATTAACAATGGAATAATTAAAAAAAAAAATTATAAAAAATTTAAAAACTATTAATATTTGATAAATTTACCATTTTTTTTTGTTTTAATTATTTAATTATATGAAGAAAAAAAATATTGAAAAATTATCACATGAATTCTGAATCGTTAAACAAACGTAAATGTCCCTTTTAAGTTGTTCTATATTTTTTATGCGCTTTGAAAGAAAATAAATAGAATATTTTATAAATTGATGTATTAAAAATTTCTATGAAAATCCAGATAAGTAGGTATTTTTTTTTTTTTTTTTTTTTGATTTACAATGAATCATGAATCATGACACTTAACTTCAGCAGACATTTGAAAATATTTAGGATTTTTTTGATAATTAAATAATAAAAAAAAATATTTTTTCAACACTAATTAATTTTCTAAATAAAAATTGAAGAATGTTAAAATGTCATGAAAATTAAGTTAACTGACATCTAAAAATTTTTACTGAAATTATTTTTATTGAAAATTTTTATACAAAAAAGTAAAAAAAAATCCACTTGCATAAGAATTGTAAAACTTCAAGTGCAATTTTTAATAAATATTTTTTTTTAATTTCTTCATGGAATTTTTTTTATAACAATTTAGTTGTTAAAAATATCCTAAAAATTATTAGACGTTGATAAATTTCATTGTCATTGTTAATTTAATTTTTAACTATCTAAATTTTTGCGCGAATATAAATACGCGCAGAACTCCAGCGCATCTACGTTACGCGCATGCGCGAAAAATATCCGTAAATACAAGAGAAACGAGCAGATTCAAAATTCAAAGAATTCCTACTGCGCCACCTATTGCGCATCTCCGCGACTATCGTCTCCATGTTCAGTCACGAAAGGACGCTTCGGTCGGTCGCAAGCATTTCGCTGTCAAGAACAGCCATCACACGTACGAATAATCCGCGGAATAGTGCAGTTGATACATGGAGACACAGTGTTTGTCAAGTTAGTTTGTTTACGCGTGTTTATTTTCGGTTGAATCGGGTTTTTCGTGGTTTTTGCGTCTGTGAAAAGGTAGATGAAGGTACGCGATCATAAAGACGTTAAATTATCAGATCACAAGCTCCAAATAGATCCTTTAATGCACTTTTAGTCCCTCTAAATTGTTTGTCATTCTCGAATGTTTAATCACCAGTAAACTATCCTCGACATCAAATTCAATTTTTACTTTCTTCAATTATTATGATTTAAAACCGGTAATTGCTGTAAACTACCGCTTAAATTATCAATTTTTTATTAAACTTCCTAAAAATATAATTGCTGTACCAAAAAGTACGTCGCCGACCGCGTAATTCAATTGTAAATATTCAGGTTATATTTCGCGCTTATTTTTTATTTCACACAATAATAATCATTTTTATTCTGTCTGACTATTGTTATTACACACAACAATAAGTATTTTTTTTTTTTATTTATAAAATTTCATTTCATTTAATTGCTTGTTAAAAAAACAATTACTCTAAATTTTTTTTTTTCGTTTGTTCGTTATTTTTTTATCGATAAGAGTAATTGTGACGATAATTTATATTTATAAATATCTACAGTGTCTCTAAAAGTAAATTTCAAAATATCTTCTAAAGCTTTTAATCCTATTGTTATTATTCTTGTATTTTTTTTTTTTATCTATTATAAACGTTTAAAACTCAGTGAATTCTTAGAATTTTTTTTTCTGAGTGGAATTTTTTTTTAATAAGATTCAATTCAGAGAATAAAGTTTTGATAATTATTGGTGATTGAAAAGTGATAAATATAATCTATCATTTAGACTAGAAAGAATTATTATTATTATTTTTTTTTATTGTTATTATTGTAAATATTGTATGATTTAATAAATAAATATGTTTACAGGTAACAAGATGTCCAGAAATCACAAGGACAAATATGAAAGTTCAAGTTCGCGTCGTGCCCACTCAATTATGTCTACTGAGGAAGCTAATTCCGGGAAGAAATCTCATTGGCCGGAATTGGAGATAACAGGGAATGTTAAAAATTTAAGCCCTAATTTATGGCAACTCAAACATCTGACTGCGTTATATCTCAATGACAATAGCCTGCAAAGGATACCCATTGAAATAGGACGTTTATCTAATTTAAAAGTATTGGATTTGAGTAATAACAAATTACGGAGCTTGCCATCTGAACTTGGGGACCTTATCAACCTTAAGTAATTTTAATGCTACTTACTTTGACAATTAATTAATTAATACTTTAGTCTCAATTTAATGTAAGAGTATTAATTGTATTTTTGTTTTTTCGCAGAGAGTTATTGTTAAACCAGAATTATCTTCGCGTGTTGCCGTATGAGTTAGGGAAGTTATTTCAGTTACAAGTGTTAGGACTCCATGGAAATCCGCTCAGCAAGGAAATGATGGCGTTGTATGGTGAACCTCAAGGAACTCACAAGCTGTTGTCATTCATGCTCGACAATTTACAAGGTATGTGCTTTATTTTGACGTTTATTATTACTGTTTGTTTGAAAATTAAATACAGCAATGACTATCGCGAATTGGCGGCACTTTTGTCGATAAGTTTACTCTACTACTGTATCTACTGAGGTAAATTACCGTTAGAAGTATTGCAGTTTCCTGTATATTGCTCAATTTAGAATTATACATTTTTAAAGTAAAAAATTTATGATTCACAATCTTAAGATAATAAATGAAACAATATAAACTTTTAAAAAATGACACTAAAATAAGCAGACATTTGATAATTTTTAGGTTTTTTTACACTGATGGTAGGATTTTTTTGTACCAAAAAAATAATTGTTTATAGTTAACAAATCATTTATCGGAGACCACTCTTTAGTATCAAACAAATATTTCTTGGTATTTAAAATGATTTGTTTGTAATTAATAAATCTGATATTTATTTATTAAATATTAATAAATTTTTTTATTAAAGACTAAAAAGTGGTCTCTTATAAATAATATAATATAATATAATATTTTATTGCCAGTAAAAAAAAAACAGATACATAAAATACATATTACAATAAAGTGAGTATGCATTAATATCTGTCCTATAGAGATGTTTTACATCTGTACATAGGACTGGAACAGTATACATAAATCCAAGAAGAACGTATAGTTAAATAACATAGTAATACTTATTTGACTATCATAAACTGTTTTATATATTATATATTAATTTGTATTATCCATTTTGTTAATTTACTTTTAATTGATTTTTTGCTGCAATCTAGTTTTTTAAGTTCTTGTGGCAGTTTGTTGTAATACTTGATAGCAATATAATTTGAGCTTTTACTTGATATAGTTTTGCTTCGTTTAGGCAGAGGGATCAGTCTATTTCTAGTATTTACCTCAGATTTCTCAAAACTAGTCTTACAATCATTATAATGAAGCAGAATAGAGTTAACTATGAAACTTTTTTTGATATCTAATACATTCTCATTATTAATTTTTTTAAGTAACTTATTCTGTATTGAAGCTACGGCATTTAAAGTATTACTGTATGCTCCGCCCCATGAAGTTATAGCATAGTTAATATTACTTTCAATTAAAGCATAATATATTATTCTCAGATTTTTTTCATTCATTACTAAACTAAGTTTTTAAAAAATAAAAATAAAATATTTTATTTTGTTTATCAACTCTCTGATATGATACTCCCACCTCATGCATCCATCTAGTATTATTCCTAAATATTTACAGTATTGATTTGTTAAATATTAACAAATATTTTTAACTATAAACAAATCCTATCAGTGTATAAAATAAATTAATACTAAGATAATATTTTTTCTTCACGTGAAGAATTAAAAAAAATTTTTTCTTTGTAGTAGTCTATTTATAAAAAAAAAAACTTCCAAATGTCGAATAATTTCAGTTTCATAAAAAAATATTATTTGATTCATAAATTAATTAAATTTTAAAATGACCTATAAATAAAACAACATTAAAATTAACAGCTTGTCAATAGTTGAAACTTTGAATCAATTTAAAGTTTAAAATTAAAAATGTAATAGTTGAATTTTATTTTGACTTTTAAATAGTTATTTAGAACTTTATTAATATACTTAAAAATTTTAGAAATATTTTTGTCGACCTCCGCTGAGTAGACAGATATAACACGCGAGACTAGGTGTGTGGTGTATACTAATATACTAATATACACGCATCAGCAGAATGACTTAAAAGCTGATCGTGGGGGGTAGGTATCCTCGAGCTAATTTACTTCAATCCTCAGGACGTTAAAATAGAACGCTCATATGGCTGAATCGCAAATTGAATCTTGCATACATTCAACTACCGCGTATCATACTGATCACGACGGTCATGCTGCTCTTGTATCTGCTCGTTGTGAGCTGGACTAGACTATAACCATGGGTATGAGTATGAGTATGATGGATTTTATGTAACTGGGGTCAGAGCACTCGTCTAATGGACAAGAAATTCTAACGGTCGACGTCAGTATGCCACGGGATAATTGCCCAACTAGATTATCATATACCATGTGTATATCATATACCATGTGTTTATACACCGATTTTTCATTTTTACGAGTTTATTATTTATTTGAGAGGAGCTGAGGGTCCGGTAGCTGACAGCCGACGTCAAACTTTTCGTTACAGAAAATTAAAGCAAAATAGATTCAAGGTTTATTTGCCTTAGACCAATAAGTTATTAATTACTCATCCTTACCCGATAGAGTAATTATTAACCGAGTATTTGAGATGATTAATTGTCGGTGCAAGATAATTATTCAAGGTTTATTACTTTTCTACAAGTCGCAGTTAAATTTTATGCCTTCCGGTTTACTTATCTAGTAAATTAGAGAAGCTAGATTATTTCTCTCTACATAAAAATTTTTCATCATTTTTAGATCACCAATAATTCTCATAATTAAAGGGTTTTATGCGTTTGAAAGGTTAAAAAAGTTTTGAAAAAAAGGCGTTTGAAATCTTTGATCTCAGTCCCATTTACAAATATGCGTATAACTTTGAAAATGCTTGCCCAATTGACATTAAATTAACTATGTATATATTTAAATAGACACTGATAAAAAAGTTAATTTCATTCAAGAAAAAAAATCTTGAACTAAGTATATTATTTTGAAAAAAATGATTTTTTTGAGTCAAGAGAAAAAATTCTTAAAGCAAGAAAAATTTATCTAAATCAAGAATAATTTCTTGGCTCAAGAATTTTTCTCTTGAGTCAAGTTATTTTTTTTATCAGTGCATGTATATTTCAAAAAGTTCCAAGTGCGTATAACTTCCCAAAAAAATGATAAAAATTCAATGATATTAATATCTCGATGATAAGATATTTTCTTACAAAATATTTCAAACTTTAAATTCTTTGCTGAGTTGAGAGCTTAGGTTCTTATCAAGCACATTAGTGCCTACATAATTTAATTTATTTACTCTCTAAATCTATTATACACAATACATAACATATTTATTGTTTTTTACATTCGGGTCAAGTGGGTGTGCCATGAAGACGCAGGCGCGGTGGGTGGACGCTGGTACTTGAAGGCTAGAGCACAACTGACTTCAAAAAGAGGGTGCGGGATACCATATTCATACTTTTATAATAAAGTGAATGAAAGAGTCTAAAACATAAAAAAAATTACAAAAAATTTTATGCCGTGTAACTCTTGAGGGAGTAAGGGCGTCTCTTCTATTGTATCCGGAGATTTTTCCTTGTACGATTGCTTGCAAAAGGTCTCTATGGATGCATGATGTGTCTTGTACACATATACACATCCATTGTTCGGAGACTTTTACAATTTGGCCAAGAATTGCCGCGCCCGTCTAGTCCTATCCCGTCATTCCGTTGAATGTTACTCCGGTGAAATCACTCGCGCGCATCCTTCATCCTCATCTTTCTCCTTTTCTTCTTCGTCATCTTAATCTTGTACTTGTAGTGGTTCTTGTTGCGAGCGATGTGCCTTCGTCATGCAACTCGTCGGCTTTCATATCTTTATCGTTAACAAAATCACATGCTTGGTACTCGAGTTGAATTGAGCTCTGGTTATTTTATTTTTTATTTTTTCTTTTATTTATTATTGTTCGTCGTCTTTTATATCCACCCTGTAGTATTTATTATTACCATATTTTTTCATCTTCTTTGGGACTAGATCAGTCCTCTGCATGGTTAAGATCCTCCTCAATACGCCGGTTTTCCATCACTGCCTGCTGGGCATACTCGTAATCCTGTATAATTGAATATATATCTGCTGCCGTTCCTTGAATTACAATCTTTTATGTTACTTATTTGAATATGATTTACTTAAGACGTTTTTTTTCAGAGATAATAACAAAGTTGTCATTCAATTTCATGTATCTCTTGTTTATGAGCTTGTGATACTGATGTTTTATTTATTTTGTAAAACCCACCGGCTGGGTACAGGTTTTTTGCTCTTATTTATTTACTTTTTATCTTGAATATTTTATTTTAGATTTTTCTTTTCCAGAAGATATTTATGCTATTATTTTTAAATAATTTTACTGTAATTTATTTATATCTACACACATTATTGCAGATGTTTTTTTTTATTATACGACATTAATAATTGAGGTACCGCGGAGTAATGAGGCGTAGTTAGAGGATAATTATGATAAAATCTGAAATATTCAATGTAATAAACAATTTTTCATATTGATTATTAATCAATAGTTACAATTAGGGGTTACTTTACTATATTGGAACAATTCTGATCTAATTCAACACAATTAGATAATTAAAATAACTTTAGTACATACGTAAGATTAATAATGGCAGCATTATTTTTCATTTAATATAATTATTCATCTTAAAATACTTGTTTCATTTTATAAAAATAATATTTCAAAGTTTAAATTTCAAGTCAACATTATTTGAAGGTTAAATATTATTTTTAAAAATTAAGCCCGAATTGAAGGAAAGCTCGCTCAAATTAAAAGAAAACATTCAAAGAAAGAGTTTAAATATAAAAGACTCCGATAATAATTACATGCAGCTATAATATAAAAATTTGGCTTTGTTTTTTAAGATTTTTCTTTATAGAGAGTAAAATAATGTTAAAGAAAGAATTTTTCAGAGTTAGAAAGAAAACTTTTTCGTTAAACTTTCAAAGAAAGAGCAAAAGTAAACATAGATTTATGAATTGAAGCATTTAAGCGGTGGTCATTTTAGTAAATTTAAGAGATGGTTTAGAAGCTGAGCAGCCCTAAAATACAAAATATACAAACGGGAGAATCGAATACTAAGGATTGAAATTCCATCTCAATAGACAAGCTCCAGAAGGAATTGCACCATCGAGAAATACCCTAAGGATTCGTGGCCGTACTTGGATTGCCATTCGAACCGACGTATTTGTATAACTTTGTGCCAACAAATTTCTGAGAGTACTCCAAATCTTTCCCAGTCCCGACTCGACCCGACCCGGCTCCACTTCTTTAAACTCGTCCATAAAATCAATATATAAATACATCTAAACTATATCTGCTATTTCTTTTCATTTTATTTCCGATTTATTTTATTTATTCACTCGTTCATTTCATCTTTTATTTATCATCTAGTCATACGATAGGTTGTCATTAAAAAATAATAATCTCCAGTATCTATACTATAATAAAATATTAAAAAGAGAAAGCCAAATAAATGTATTGTGTGACGAGATTCGTTCGAACCGTGAAAATGGGTCAACCGTTGAACCAAACGCAAATTTCAAAGTATAACATCAAGACCAACTACTCCGTTAGTTTTATGCTCTTAAAGCTTTTTAAAATCCATTTATTTAAACACACATAACCTTTTTTAAAACATGTTGAAAAAAAAAACGGCGTTTTTATCCTTCATGAGCTTTAGAAAAGTTTAAGAAATCCAAATTATGCATGTTATATATAAGCACTAAGTTCATGATAACAACAATCTCTTGAATAATTAAAAAAATTTTTAGATAAAGTAACAAGAATTTTCCATTAAAAACTTTACATGGTTTTCAATTTTAAAGGCTTTGTTAAGTTCCAGTATTGGGAAAAATGTTAGCTTAATATTTAAACTCTCTTGCTCAATATTGAGGCATATAAATAACTTAAATATTGAAAAATTAACATAATAAATTTACTGCAAATTTTTATTGCATATTTAATTTCTTAAACTCAAATATCGTAACTTCACTAAATTTTAAGCAGCTTAAGCTTTTTAAAGTTTATTTATTGAAAAAAATATAACCTTCTTAAAACGTGCTGAAAAAAAGTGGTGTTTTCATCCTTTGTGAGAGTTAAATACGTTTAATAAATCTGAATATGAATGTTTTATAGATACACTTAGTTTATTATAAAAATAATATCTTACATGTATAAAAAAAAATTAATATACAAAGAGACAAAAATTTTTCATAACAAATTTTACATTGTCTCTAATTAAAAAGTTTATCCCAGGTATTAAAGAAAAATCCTCGAGTTTAATGATTAAGCTCTCGTGTTCAATATTCAAGCTCGTGAATATTTCAGATATTGAAAAATTAATGTTTTTTACACTGTCTTGTATTCTTTAGAAAAAAAACTCTTTTTTAACAGCAGAACTCTCCTACCCAAAATCCAAGCTCATAAATAGATCAAGTTTTAAAAAAATTGACAATTCAAACTGCCCGATGTTTTTTTTTTTTTTTTTATAAAAGCGCTCTTTAAACTCAAAAAACGCTATTTTCATCTACAGTCTCAGTATCAATGTCTGAAAAAAATAAAAAACATATTCAACAGTGTAAAATACTGATTAAAGAAAGGCAATCAGTAAATGGTTTTGGTGTAATCTTCATAAGCGTCTGTTATATTATGCACAAAAGCAAAATAGTTTTTAATAAAGTTACAAATGTTTGAAGAAAAATAGTAAAATACTGATAAAAGGCAATTATTAAATGTTGTAAGCTCATGTAGGCTTATTTTTGCGACTCAGGTGATTTAAAAAGAATTATCCTACTATAAAAAGCAATTTTCGTATCACTTATGATAAAATATCAATATAAACATTTTTTCCACTGCATAGTCGATCACTGCAGCCTAAAATAACGTCGAAGTTTATATAGCACAGCGTAGGATTAGTCTTGACTAGAAAAACGCTCCAAAAACAAATT